AATTTTTTTACTAAATTTGCGAAATTCCATATATATATATATATATATATATATATATATATATATTATCGAGAAATTGTGCTGCAAGACTATATATTATACTTACCCGGGTACTATACGATACCCGGAAAAAAAGTTCCATATACCATTATACAATAATTATATGCAAAATATGTCCATATATGTTTCTTTCCTTTGTAAAATTATTCTTTAATACAAAATTGATAGTAATAACAAGGAAACATAAAAAATAATTAAAAGAATAATTTTTACATTGGTTTCTTTTACAAAAAATAAAGTTTGAAGAAATGAGAAAAATTGCTCATATGTAATTAATCATATATAAGTGATTAAAAATATACATATATAATTATATATGTATATGAATTATATATATATATACATATATATATGAACAATTTTTCTTATTTCTTTAAACTTGATTTTTTGTAAAAAAAAACAATGTAACAATTATTCTTTTAATTATTCTTTATATTTCCTTTTTATTATTATCAATTTTGTATTAAAGAATAATTTTACAAAGGAAAGAAACATATATGGACATATTTTGCATATATAATTATATATAATTATACATGGAACTATTTTTCTCGGGTATATATCATACGATATATATTGAATTATATATATAAGCCAAATGATAATTAACATATTTACAATTTGCTATATATAATAAAAGCCAAAATTTTAAAATAATTCTAAATCCGTGTAGGATATAAAAACTGTTTCTAAAATCACTTATACTATATCTACAAATTTATAAGATTTATTTAAATTTTATAAGAATAACTTTATGCATTTTCTTTACTGTCCAATCGAACTCAATCCTCATTCAAAAGTATACATTTCCGTATTTTCGTATGCGAAATTTTTCGAGAATAAAGCCCTCTAACAGTCCTTGAAAAGTGGATTTAGCACGGACACGCACCACAAATTGTATACCCGCGGTGCAGAAAAGTGGATTTTGCTATGTAGTTTACGTCGACTTCTTCAGAGGGCGTTGGTGCACGAGGACATTTTGCCGTTACAGCCACAGGCAAAAGGCCGTCATGGTGGTAGGTGGAGTCGGAGCACTTGGAGCGTTGGAGCTCATGTCCGGTTGGACCGGTTGTTCTTTCCATCATTGGCACTTGGCGGGATCGTACGCAATCAGAAATCGCTTCAACGCTTCTCTCTGACGCTACACTGGAACAAAGGTATAAGATGGTTTCTTCGTTTCATTTTTTCGTAATCTTTTTAAACGCATTTCTGCTTGTTTGTAAAGCTTTTAAGATCTCGATCATTGCTTTGCCGGTTATTGCGCGAATATCGATGTGATCTAACAATAAGTTCGCGATCTTCGTATCTCGTCGTTTCTAACCTTTTCTTCTCGCCACGCCACGTGGCTTAATTTAGCACGGGGATAGAACGAATCTTTCCCTGAAATAACGCGAACGTATTGCGATCTTGATCGAGAGGATGATTATATATATCCTCCAAAATCGTCGTTTCTAAACGTTGTTTATTAATTATGTGCAATTAGACGTAAATTTTTCCTCCCATTTTGGCATGCCTCCAGTTCGTATCTCGCTGGAGCATGAATGCTTGTGGGAGGTAAAGCAAAGAGGGAACTTGCCTTCGGAATCCACACGATACTGTCTGGAGCCGTTTCTCTAAGTTTCCGACACTTAACCTTTACAAAAGTGTGCTAATGCATGTACTTTTGTAGGTTTATTACTGCATGTAGACTAATATAAATCTTTAATTTTACAGGACTGTAAACCTACTTCGAGAACAAATTTTCGAATAAAATATATTACGATGCTTTATATGTTCGTCTGAAAAAGACGATAAAAGAATCTGAAACAAGAAAAAAAAAAGTTTCTTCTGCAAAATAATGTCAGGCTTTACATTGCTGGACAAAAGCTATGCGACTGTGGCGTACAGTTGGACCATTCGGTATATGGTCCAGATTTTATTTCTAACGTTTGGATATTTTCCACCCTAAGAGAACATCTCAATGATTGTGAAAATAAAATGCTGGCCTGGAAAATGAAGAAAGTTGCAAGCTGCTGGATTAAAAGAAGCTAAAAAGTCGCCTTCAGCATGTATCTGAAAGGAATAATGACAAAAGTCCATATTCGGAGCCTTTATATATTTATTATTTAAAAATATTTAAACATTTTCATGAAGACCATTGATGTGGACAACATCAAATACAACTGCGATACTTGCAAAGAGAACATTGAGCATGGATTATGCAAGAAATTGAATATAAGTAAGTTTCCGTAATTAATAAAAATTAATAAATATTAAAGATTTTTATGACTTGATGATTCTGGTGTATGATATCACTGTGATTATACATACAGTTACCTCTAAGAAGAACTGATTTAAATTTGCTATTTCTGCAACTTCTGTAAAACTCAAAATCAAATCTTAATATTTGTGTACAAACTTAAATTTGCAGATTCCACTGGAAAGTCGACATGACGGCAATACTGTGGACAACTACAAGCACACTTGGCACTTTCCGCAATGATGTTCATGGCGAATTGATGGTGAAAGGCGAGACTTGTATTAATTGCAAACTGCAGATAAATATTAAAGCGAGAGAAAAAAACTTTGACACATTGGATTAAAATTTTATTATGTAAATTATAATATAAATTACAGATCGATTCATACTTATTCAACTGTATAAGTTAGTCTTCTATCATCTTGAAAACAATACCATATTTCTATAAATTATCAATGACAACGTAGATTTATAATCCTAACGTTTTGCAAATGTTGTAATATATTCGCGCTTGGTCCGATTTGTCCAAACATCCGTAAAGATCGTTCAGCTTCAGACAGTCGGTTTTACTCATCGCTTTTCGTTGGCCGATCGCGATGCCGGGTGTTTTCGGCGTCAGAGTCGGTTTTGTAGGATCCGCGCTGAAGAAGTGGCTTCCGTAATGCATTATACTGTCGTATCCGTACTCGTAGCTGTACGTCGCGTTCTCCGGCGATTGCTTGTTGAAGTTTGATCGAAATCCTAATACGAAAAATGGATAAAGAAATGCAAATATTGTTTTCACACAACGTAATAAAATATATAATTAAATGTAATTTAATTTTTGTGCGCAATATAATTATACGAATTTGTATTGCAATTGCATAATTTCTGAATGTTAATTTACCAGGGATAATATTCTCGTAGTGTATGTCTATATACATGTCCCTGTCGGCGCGACTGTGCTCGTGGAAGATACCGAGAGCGTGCATCAACTCGTGTATCGCCTTTCCCTCGTTTTCCAAGCAGTTCGGCCCCTTCTCGTCCGGCGGTTCCAAAGAGAGTATCTGAGCACCACCGAATTTCCCCACGAATGACCAGCATCTGCGAATTAATTTCACGAGGGCAGAAGGAACGAATTAATCATCTCTTCGCAACGAGAATACTGCAACATCTAAAACGCTGCATTATCTTTTCACGACATGGAAATATATTCACCCTTTGGGATACATTATCGGCCAAATCAGCAGGAAGTCCTTGGCTTTACCGTCCCATGGAACGAACTTTATGCATGTCATGTAATTTATATATGTGACAGCTTTATATATTTTCACGTAATCCGCTGCGTCTAAAAACGATGTTTGTTAAATTCTTTTGAGTTCTTATTTCTGTTATTCTCTGCTTTCGAATGCAGTATCAAATTGTATTCTTACGCACGTACCGTACAGAGCGCTAATTACATAAGGAACCGTCTTATTTTCCCACAGTTTGTCCGGAAAAACGTCCCAGCGTAAACCGACGCGCCAGTAATCGAAATACTGGATAGAAATGATATAAAATGATGAAAAGCGTTACGAAAAAATATAGAATGGAAAAAGGAGAGCGGCGTGCGTGCAACATGTATATGTACCTCGCTGGTCACAGCTATATCTCCTTCGAACAAACCGGGACGCACTTCCGCATCCTGCGACGACTCGTAGAGCCGTAATAAATTCTGATTCGATGTTCTAACTGTAAAGGATTTTTATTTTGTACTTATAATTTGCATTTTGTTATTTTAACAGCGTGCATTTAATTTCCGTCGCATCAATATTTTTATAATAATAATGAAATAACGATAATTCAGTGCCCTCGGATTTAATGTTCCGTGAATAATGCATAATATATAATATCCGCGTCAGAATTTACCAATGTCAGGAATAATGGGGTGTATCGCGTTGACGGGAGCTTTATTTAAAGGTAATGCAATCGCAAAACTGATCGGCACGCAAGACAAGTATAAACATGTGCACACGAGCGACTTCATCTTCGCAACCGATTTTTATAGCTCTTCCTCGATTTTTGTATACACTTCAGCGACAACTGGAAATTTCTACGAGACGAGAAATTTTCGCGAACCACCGTGGCTTACGCGGTTTTTTTTTCAAACGGTAGGTGAAGGTAGGTAATGTCGGAGCGGAGCCGCCGAGGTTGGGGATCAGCTGATCGCCCGGCGAAACATGCGGAGTCCACGAGACGTCAGTCTCGAGCTTCGCAGTCTTCTTACAGTCGTTCCACGAGTTCGACATAAATGTATGCTGTATACTAATGCATTTCGTCGATGATTCTTTAATTTATTCAATATACGCAAGTCTAATCGAAGACAGACTGAAGATAGAACCTCCGGAATAGGTTATGTGATCTTGTATTTTACGTTGCTTGTATAAATAGTTACATCAGATTATTAGAGCGACTATGGGCTTTCGGGAAGAAACCACGGAGCCGGACTCAGATCACGCAATTGCAGGCGCTGCCAGTGGATTTATAACGAGGTTTCTATGTCAACCTTTGGACGTCATAAAGATTAGATTTCAAGTAATTATTTTACATGGCAAAAGTGTATTTTAACATATATCTTCCTCAAGTCCTACAATTACTGTATTTCGTATCGCAGTTGCAAGTTGAACCAATTTCGAGGAGCAAATATACATCTATGTCGCAAGCTTTCATGCTAATTTTAAGAGAAGAAGGTCCTGGTGCATTATGGAAAGGTCACATACCCGCACAATTACTCTCGGTTGTCTACGGGATGACTCAGGTGCCAAACAAAATTTATTAGATTATTTATAACCGCAGTTAATATATTATTTACATAATTATTATTATATAAGTAATAATTTATTATTATTATAATAAATATAATAATTAAAAAATGAATAAGCAGAAAATTATAATAATTTATAAATTATTATATATTATATTATTTATATAATTTTTAAGCTTTTTATATGTGCTCTATGCTTCTAACAATATGATCTCTTGTATCTGCAGTTTTATTCCTACAATATATTCGTGAAAATGCTTCAACGAGTTCCGCAAATTGAGCACTGGTCTCACACAATGAATTTTGTCGCTGGTGCTGGTGCCGGCAGCGTGGGGACGATCATTTCGTTTCCTTTCGACACTATCCGAACCAGATTAGTGGCCCAATCGAGTAATCATCAGGTGTACAATGGAATTTTGCATTCCTGCAGGCAAGTTACTTTCAATTAATTAGTACCGTTAATACTCTGTTCACTTATTGTCAGAGTGTTTTACTGACTCTAGCATGGAGATCTCTTTATAGAGACAACTTTACATTTGAATGACACACATCTTGTTTCTTTTCTTAGCATGATTCTTCGACAGGAATCGCCAAGGGTTTTCTTTTCCGGTCTGTTACCGACCTTACTGCAAATTGCCCCACACACCGGCTTGCAATTCGCGTTCTATAAACTCTTCACGGGTTTCTATAAGAGGTACACCTCCAGTACCGAGACCAATGTCTATAATTCCATGTTATCTGGCAGCGCCGCCGGACTCGTGGCGAAGTCAATTGTGTATCCCTTCGATCTCACTCGAAAGAGATTGCAGATACAGGGCTTCCAGCACGGTCGCGAGGGATTCGGCAAGTTTTTCCAATGCAACGGCTTGCTGGACTGCTTGACAGTGACGGTAAAGGAAGAGGGTATGCGAGGTCTATTCAAGGGCTTAGTGCCGAGCCAGGTGAAAGCCGTTACGACGTCGGCTTTGCATTTCACTGTGTACGAACAAGTTTTATTACTGTTAAAGATGTTGCGATAACAGAAGTTCAAATGAAGAGATCATATCGCTCATTTGCTATAATAACGACACAACTCAAAAGACAGTTTTCTAGAAAATGAAATAGAATATTTTGAATTAATTAAAATTTTATATTTTAATTTTATAATGCAATTTTGATGTAATACATACCGCAGATTGTAGAGGAAAAAATTATGCTTCTTTTTCTTTCTACAAGCAATTGAAAAAAAAAAGACAATTTCCGAGTTTTGTCGTTGCCTTAACAAATGAGCGATATATAAAGTGTTTTGAAAACATTAATTTGTATATATTAATTTGTACCTTAGACTTTGAAAGACTGATTTCTAACTGATATAACTACACTATATACTCTTAAATTACATAAATTGTATTATATACACGTATAAATCGAAAATACAAATTGTATGTTGATTTTAAATTCAGAAATATATATATATATCATAATATGATCATTAAAATTTCTCATCGTTATGCCTTGTTTAGCAATGTTATCAGTTTACATTCACTTTATATTCCGCGGGCATTTCTTCGGGGCATTCGTCTAAGACAGCCATAATATTTTTCGCTGTGATACAGGCCATTTCCTCTCTAGTTTCGTGAGTAGCGCTTCCTATGTGAGGTAGAACCACTAAAAATATACAAATACACAAATGGATTAATACCGTTGCATATTTAACTAACATCTCTGATATAATCCCTCTGCATTGTAATGTACCTACCACAATTATCTAAATTTAAAAGTTCATGGTCTAGTGGCAGCGGCTCCGGCGTCGTGACGTCTAAACCAGCTGCTGCGATTGCGTTATTCTTTAAGGCGTCGATCAGCGCTTGTTGATCCACCACTTCCCCACGGCTACCGTTCACGAATACAGCCGTCTCCTTCATTTGATCGAAAGCCCGAGAATTAAACATATATCTCGTTTGTGGCGTCAGTGACACAGTTACTATAACGAAGTCACTGTCCTGAAGTAACTTGGGAAAATCAACTCTTTTACCGTCGAACTTGGACGCTTCTGATTTGACGGTTCTGCTATAATACAATATCTCGGCAACGTTGAAACCCTTAAGTATCTCCGCGACTCTCAAGCCGATCCTACCCAGACCGACGATTCCTACGGTTTTCCCCGCCAGTCCTCTGCCGCACATCCATTGGGGCGACCAGGATGTCCACTCGGCTCTGTAATCATGTTATTCAGTTTTAACCTACCGCGAGCATTACACCAGTTAAGTCATATCTTTAACACATTTGTCCAATGACGCTTACTTATAAATCGCTAAGTGTGCATGTATCAGTTTCCTTGACGTGGCCAGTAAAAGCGCTACTATCAGCTCAGCAGTGCTCTCAGTCAGGACGTTTGGAGTGTAGCCAATTTTAATGTTTCTTTTGTGCAAGCTATCTATGTCTAGGTGGTCCAAGCCCACTGACATAGACGCCACGACTTTCAACTGCGGACCTGCAGATTCTAGAATCGCGTCGTCTATCTTGTCCGTCAGCACGCAGAATACAGCGTCCACTCCGTGGATCATGGACAATAAAGTGGAGCGTGGTATCGGTTCAGGTTTGTCCCAGATTCTGAGGCAATATCTGTAAATGATAAGAAACAACGTAACTAGCAAAAATAACGGTACGTACGCCTGACTTAAGTTACAAATGTATATTTATAATATATAATACATATAATATATAATATTTATATTTATACATGAAATATATATTTGTCATTGGACTTGCTACACGCCTCTAGTCTCGTGGCGTAAAGCGAAATTAGACTGTGTGGCATAAAAGTGTACGGCATATAAGTGAAAAAAATCAAGCAGCAGCGTTATGATATTACAACAAAAAGAAACGAAGAGGCGAAAAATCAGATGATCTAAATATTCTAAATCGATGCTAGTCTCACCGATCACGCAGCAGAATTAAGGCCGCTTTGGGTATATCCGGCCGTGTAATCAGGACCTTGGGCACCTTGGGTTTATCCATTTCGACGGCGCTCGATGTCAGGGCTCTCGAATAATCGCAAATCGCTAGACCGATTCTCCTTGAACGGCTTGAACAAAGGGTCCTCACACTCTGCCTGACGAAACGGACAGTGTTCGCGAATACCATTGGGCCTCCTTCCTAACCGCTGTAACGGACCGTACCCGGTGAACCCGGTCTGCCCTAAAATTTTCCTTCTCGTTTTCGGCGAACGGCAAACATATATCTATTTCATTTCAAGTACGCCGGTTCAGCTAAAAAGAACAGATTCGACCTATTGTTTGTTAACATTTATTGACATTTGCGACATGCCTGCGCTGCGGATGATATCGTGCGAGTTGCGACACCGCGCCATGCGCGACACGTCGATGAACTAACTTGTAACTTTCAAAATTATTTACTTATCAGTAATTTAGTATATTATCTTTATGAAGCAAGGACAGAATGATGTAATGGAAAATTACAGAGCGGAGATAAGTAGTGAATTCCATGGCGAATGCACATGGAAAATTGCAGAGCGAAGATAAGTAGTGAATTCTTAGAACATATTATATATTATATTATATTATATTATAATACTATTATATATTGTAATATATGTTTTAAGAGTGAATTTTAGTACATTTGCAGCCTAGCTATATATTTCTGCAACCTTGAAGTAAATATTCCTGGAATTTTGAATATTTCGCGAAATAATTCTCCCAACAGAAATTTATGCATTTTATTTATTCATCGTTAACAAAATTGTCAGGCACTTGTGCAAAAAGTTACACTTCAAAAATACGTAATATAAAAGTAACAAAAAAGCGCACGTAAAAGAAACAGAGATTTTATTTGTACAAAATTTTTCTCTTTTCAATAAGATACTGTACAGATACTATATTTAGATACTATACATAACGTTGGGACCTGATGACATAAATTAATTGAATAAACCGCTTCATTTATAATTATCTTTGCAAGAATAATACTCTTCGTTTGTGCATTACGAAAATACACGTCGACACACCTATCGAACAGGGATCCTAAAACAGAGCTAATTGCCGCCGCGTCAATACACAAATGCCTCGCTGTTCTCCAATTGGTCGGACTGCTTCGTGTCGTCCTGGTTCCTCATAGCGGCCGTGACCGTGTTCTTCATCAGCATAGCGACCGTCATCGGGCCCACGCCGCCGGGCACCGGCGTGATGTGCCCGGCGACCTCCTTCACGCCGTCGTAATCCACGTCTCCCACCAGACGGTACTTGCCGTCCGCCGTCTTCACCCTGGTGATACCCACGTCGATCACGCAGGCGCCCGGCTTTATCATCTCCTTGGTGATCAGGCCGGGAACCCCGGCCGCGACTACGACCAGATCCGCCAGCTTCGTGTACTTCTCCAGCTCCGTGTGGGGCGTGTGACGGTGGCAGATTGTCGTTGTCATGTCCAGTGCGCCCGTCTCGCCTGAAGACGGAACGTACGATTAGTTTGGAAAATTAAAGATAAAACTGTTAAAAAAACAGCTGAATATAAGAGTTAAGTATAGAAATTAGGCACCAAGATCCAACCATGACCGTTCAAGACGTCCTCGAATTTACTTGTGTATTCATATATGCGGTCTGGTTCAAATTATAATTACTGTTTAAAGATAAAGATTTAGAAATTTGGCGAAATTCTCTCATGTGGATATTAATGAGACCTTTTATTAAAGAGAGGAAATTGACGAAGAGAGACCATGAATTGGTAGAGAATAAAAGAAATTAATTAGATAAAGAGCTCCGAGATAAAGGCAGTCTGACATTACGAAACGAAACAATCGCGAGAATTTGGATAGCGTTGCGGACACAGTGACACAGTTTGGAAGGTCTATGGCGTCAGAATATGTTATCTCTCGACATGATTTAGCACGACTAAAATTTCCATATTGATTTAGGTCAGTCACCTTTGCCATCGGCGTGTAGTAACAGCGCGATGGGCAGCCCGACGTGCTTCGATCTACCCACAACCACGGCGTTCCTTCCGAAGGTCTCGATTTTGCTCCTAAGTACTAATTCCTTGACAGCTAAGGCGGTGGCCGGTACGATACTGCTGTTGTCCAGGGTGAGATTACCGAGATTGTCCAAGTGGAAGCCGTCCACGTCTTTCCTCGGTACTATCGACTGACACACCTCCTTCTCGTTCATGCCCCTCGGCAGCGGCAGTTGTACCAGAACGCCGTCGACGGACGGATCCCTGTTGAGGCTGTCGATTTCCTTAAGCAGGTCTGCTTGTGTGATATTCTCTCCCAAATGAATGGTGTAACTCTCGATACCTGAACGATCGACAAAGAGGATTAGCATGCGAGTTCTAGGGAAAACTAGCTGTTTGCTGAGGGTGAAGATAAAGTTACCTATCGACTTTGCCGCTTTCATTTTCCTGCCGACGTACGCTTTGCTGGATGGATGGTTCCCCACCAATATCGCCACCAGCTTCGGCCTCTTCTTCCCGGCATTTGTACAAGTGTCTACAACCACCTTTAATTCCTGTTGAATCTGCTCGGCTATTTTCGTTCCGTCTATGATCGCAGCTTCTTGCCTGCAAACGACCAGATTCAAGGATTAATAAAAATAAGTGGAAAATTATAATCCCATTAATATTAATGTTTAATATCTCTAAATTATTAATAAATAAAATTAGTAAAATTTAAAGTATTTCAAGTGACTGGCTTTTAAGAAAAAGAATCTTCATAAAATAAAGCATAAAAACTGAAGTAAAAAAAATGAAACCACTCCAAATTTTGCTGTTTCTAATTTTTTTTTGCCTTTAAATATGTGTTTAATAATTGTTCGACATTTATAGATTCCATATGCATTAATTTATATCCTTCATATGTATATGTTGTAACTTATTAAAATTCTTTGCCTCACAAATTAAATCAATCATCCACGTGTCTCCGAGGGAAGAAAGATCGGTCGCGTACTCACCGGATTTTCGACAGATGCAGCTTCCTCGCAAACTTCTGCGAGACTAGGGAGAAGGCGTTCCTCCAGGAGAACATTATTGTTGGTCGATGTTGCTTCGCGGGACTCGCACGCTGAACTGAGGTCGGTGTGCTACCGCATGCCGTCAAAAGGTTCCGGTTCCTCGGTGACGAATCCCCGCTGCGGGGAGCTTGTGCAATTACCGATAACGCGACGGGGGGGGGAGGGCTTGTGCAATACCCAATAATGCGAAGAGGCTTGTCCCGGTTCGCGCGTACCGCGTGTACGCGATAACCCGTCCGGACAAACAGGCCAAACAGCTGACGTGGGGCGAGCGATAATCGCCGATTCGCAGGGGGTCGATATATCTCCACTGCGGGAGTTGCGAAATCGATCCGCGGCTGCCGAAGCGAGACCGCGAGTGAAAGGCGAGAGCGATTAGATTAGAGCAGTCCCGTCCGACCAGTTGGCGACCGCCCGTTTCCGCCTTCTCCGAGGCGGAGAGGTCGCGCGGAAAAAACGGAGCCGGTAGGATTCCGCTGTTGGCAGGTCCGCGGGACTCATGCTCGCGATCGAGCAGAACGAATTACGTCAGCGACGAGGTCACGGAGAACAAGGTATAATATTACAGTCAGTCAGTCAGACTAAATTTTTGTGACACTTTCAAATATAAAATACAAAATATCCACCATGGAAATTTCCATTATGTGGAAATCTCCAACTCTCAAGTGAGGCCCCGGTAGGCCTCTCCGGAATTATAATTAAAAACTGCCACACATTACCAACTGCCGAATATCGATGAAATTGTGAATTTCTTGGCCGTCGATATAAATATATCTAAATTATAATTTGATTTATGCGGATGCTTCGTAAATAAGCATGTATATTTGCAAAGCAATAATATTATATATACTACTGCGAGATTGCATTTTTGTTGTTGTTATACATTATCTGGATAAAGATAATGTGATAAGTCGGTATTATCTGCAGAGAAGCTTTTTCGAAATAATGTCGAACGGTAAAGAAGATGGCTCCACGAATCCATTGATATAGCTGGAAGACAATAAATTATTTATTTGCTTGCTTTATCTTCGAGTCTTACTGAAGATATATTCGCTATATATACAGGTGCGCCATTCTACATATTACACAAAATTAATTTTTATTTAAATCATGATAATTATATTTTATATCTAATATATATGTATATATTATATGTGTTTATATGCGTACATAATTATATATATTTTAAATATTATATGCACATTAATTATAAAAATTGATTTTGCTGGCAATTTATTTACACGCTTATGCGACAGTTCTTTTACATCAGTAAATCGGCATTGGAGACATCAGTGGCAGATCCAAAGAATTCTAGGTGGGGGGGGGGGCGTTATGACGAAACGTAAATATTTAGTTATTATTGTCGTTAATGTTATTTTTAATATTTTTTATTATTTAAAAAAAATTGAGTGAACATTATTTAGTCTCGAATAATCTCTGATAATTTTTTTTCTCAATTCACGAAATTTGTTTAGAGAGCTTTGGGATGGAGGGGGGGCGATCGCTCCCTCCGCCCCCCTCCCTTGTATCCGTCACTGGGGAATATTCATAATATTTGGAATAATTGTTAATCAAATCGCCTTGATTTTTATTTGACGATTCTTTGAACATATGTTTTTCAAGATTTGTGTACTTATCAGCGTTACGACATTTCGACTTCCCATGTCAATAACATCGAAAACACACATCAGCATGTGATATCTCTTGTCTCGAGATTAGAAGACATTCATTAATGTTGATTAATATTGATCAATCATTTGAACGTGAAAACAATCGACGACGCCTATTTTTCCAATAATTCGATGACAGTGTCGAATGTCAAACTTGCGGATCACGCATGAAAGAAGATGCGTTTCCGCGAAACGAGATAACGCGCCGACCGGATCGCTGAACGAGGCGATTACGTGAAATTATTGGCAACCTTCGGGGCCCGGAAAAGAGACGCCCGTCCCGGCGACGAAGTAATATTACGTTGGAACTGTATTAAGAGCATGAAATATGACTGGAGCGTACCGGCGTACCGGCCGTATTATTACTCCGATCCATCGTGTCGTAACTACTGTAACGTGGCCCGCATAGTAAATATTAAACACCAGGGCCCGGTGTGTCCGAGAGCATACGCTCGCGTATCGCGAAAACTTGACGTTGCCCGAAATCTAGGATAAAAGAACTAAAAAACGCGTATTTCTTCATTTATGAAGGAAGAGCCAAACTCTGGCATTTAAAATGATAAAATAATTTAACGGTAATGAGTTAATATTATTTGGTAATTTTGTTAATAATTTAATATGAATAAAATTGTATATTTTGCTATTAAATAATTTTTTATTTATTGAAATTATATTTTTACTTATTTATTATTTATTACAAATAATTTAATATTTTGTTTGAAACAATGAAAATCTGTCAAGCGTTACTGCTCTCCATCCCGTTATTAACACTGTAGATCGGTATGATGGAACGCGCCACGTGGCATACGTCTTTTGGTTGCAATTTCGCAACAATGCATTGTCACCACTTTGTTTCAAAATAGCGGTCTATCGATTATTGTTAACTATTTTGAGGGTTAGCGTGGGATACCGGACAATTTTAGCAGATCTGCCCACAACGCGGCCAAATATTTAGTTGGCCGCAAGGTTTGGGCGCATAGAGCGCATACTTTCCCGCCGATATTATAAGCCGGGAGCTTGAGCTGCCCCGACGTGCGACCATTGATCAAATAGTTGGTCTCCAGTTGCGATCAAAGTGCTATGGTATGTGTTAACGCGCGTTTGTTGCTAAATCTTGCCTGTCAAAATATCAAATCGATTGCAGCACGCCGAAATATACTTGATGTTGCGAAACGGGAAACATTTCTGGAACATTTATCCTCAATGACACAAACAAATACATGATGTATAAGATTCAAAAATATTACATATATATATATATATATATATATATATATAGTATATATAAGTTTGATAAAATTAAGTCTGATATTTTGATTGCGCTTAATTATAATTTCAGCAATTCCAGATATTAACTCGTTTATTCTTAAACAAAATGACATTTTATTGCAGAAATTATAATTAAGCGCAATCAAAATATCAGACTTAATTCGAGTGCAGGTCGAACAATTAATTCTTATGTATATGTAATATTAATTTATCATCACGAAGGTATAATGTAAATTATAATTAATTATAAAGGTATAATATAAATTATTATAAAATGTACTCTTGTAGATACCTAGTTTTATATTTCGTTGAGAAGAAGGAGACAGAGACAGAAACAGAAAGTGAGAGAGAGAGAGAGAGGAGAGGGGGGGGGGAGGGAAGCAGAGATGTAACTATGTCACGCAGTTCAGCTATTTTAGTCGGTGGTGATTAATTCTGGCGAGTTCTTTTCTCGCGTGTGTCCGCGTAGCTGCTTGAATTTCCTAAATTCACGAGCTGGTTTTGAGCCGGTCCAGAATTCCTCGCTCAACATTTTAACAATTCGGGTGCCCGCGCCATAACTGCGCGTAACTATGATAATTATGCGTCTCTTTAGTGGCGTGCCGTTTCCTGTAAACCCGAGACTCTCTCCTGTTCCGCAACTCTCTCTCTCTCTCTCTCTCTCTCTCTCTCTCTCTGTCTCTGTTCGTGCTTCGAGCCGTCATCCCGACTTTCCGCGACACGTACATAAGAACGTCGGCGCCTCTTTCTCTCTTTCTCTCTTTCTCTCTTCTATTTCTTTTTTTTCCCCTCCCCCTCACCTTCTTTTGCTCGTCTTCTCTTTGCGAGTGGAATTACTCCCGATATTTTTCACGACGACGCGACGTCGACGCGATCGCGGGGGATGTAAGGGTGGTAAGGAGGGAGGGGAGAGGGAGGGCACCGCGCGCGCGGACTGCATTATGCAAAAAAATATGCGCCCGTTGAATGAATAAATATGTATTCCTGTCTCGTATGTACTACCCCCTCGCCCTTTGTCCTTTACCCTTCGCCCGGGGTATGCTACGCGACAGCGCTCATACATAATTTATCGTCCGAAGAATCTGCGCGCTCTCAGCGATAAAACGGTTGCCATAATCGGTACATACATCGTTATCGCTATTGACACAGCAGGTGAGACTTGCGCGAGTGCATCTAAATTCGGCGTCTTTCCACGGAGCTCCGCTTTTATCTATGTAGAACATCCTGCGTTTGCTTTTAAATGGACGGAATATTAAATCTGAGTATCTATATCTCTGCCGTCCTTCGCTAGATTGGTTAAAAATTGACGACAACCGATTAGATTGGCTCACAGTTTGATTAAAAACATCGTTATTATCTCTTTGAGGCCTGGAAATTGCTATGTCAGTTATAGAAAATCTATAGTATTATAGAAGTTATTGGGGCAGCTGAATTTGAATCTGACCTCAGAATTATAAAATTCAATATTCAAAATCAAATCCTATTGTAAAACTCCGGATTATAAATTTCATAAATTTTAAGTGATATTTATTGTATCTTTTTTACGTCCGTTATATTGGATTCATATCATTTGACTGTTACATTCTTGATCTCAAATTCAATGATCACTATAATCATCTTAACTCAAGTTTTATGAAAGTCGGAAAACTTTCTAATTTTTTATTATTTTATCTTCGCGATTTTCAATGTGCTATTTCTGACCTCAAAATCAGAAAGAACACCATCAAAAATCCTTGTACTATAAGTTCAATGAAAATTGAGTAATTTAATATTTGTGCATTTTCCATTTTGACGTCGTCCACGTATTGGGTCCACTGTTTTAAATTTCGAATTTTTGACTTTAGAATCGAAAAGGACATCATCAAAAATCCCTATATATCAAGTTTCATGAAAATCGAGCTGGTATAGTTGAAATAAACAAGAGAGTAACTGTCACTTTGGCTGCTTCCGGGCTTCAAAGGCATTTCAAATATAAATTTGCCGATATGAAACGCTCTGTATTATGCCGTCACTTAATCAATGCGGCAAACCGCGGATTGCCGCAATGTTCACCTCTATTTTTATGTCAAACGTATCCAGGGGGGTCCCGATAAACTCTGGGTGAGGAAAAAAAAAACGCGCTAGATATGAGTAAACTCGTACGGGATATCGGCCGTAACGAGAAGTTATGACGTAAAAACGTAGTCACACGCCCCGACGTATCTGAAAACAACAGAGCGATGTCGGCCGGTTGACGTCAGTGGGTCACGCATCGGTTTGTCGGCGAGTCGACTTTTGCAATGGATATTTGCTCGCGCGTACGCAGGCGACGATGACAGCGCTGACACCGCGCGGTTATTTTGATTGAAATCGTGCGTGACGGTCGTAGGATCGTTGCAACACGTGCCTCGATTGCCGCCGGTTTTTACCATTTGCGTACGATATAAACTCGATAATAACGATCGTCTAGCGCTCAAATCACGTAAACATCCATTTATAGAAGCGATTCAGCAATTCCCGATGACCTACATACGTAACGGGAGAAAATATCTCAAGGTCTAAGAATTTCGATAAAAAAAAGGTATACGGCGCCACGCCTTTTTTTTTATTTTGCATCGAACTTTTTTGCTTAGATTAAATGCGGGCGCGATCACAAGAATTCGTTTTTTTTTCTTCTGCAGCTATCACGCGCGGCGTCGTTGACTCCTGACACTATTTCCGATTTCTCTCTCTCGAATTAATAAGGCGGCGGCTTATTACGGAATTCCGTCGGCTATTGATTGCCACTTGCAGTGCGCAGTTAATTAAGCTTTTAATTTAATGTAAGCGGTGGCGGCGGCGGTGGCGGCGGCGCGGCGGCGGCGGTGGCGTAAATTCTACGATTTCTCATCGAGAATGTCGGACGTGTTTCGCGATTCTCGTGGAAATCTGG